ACACGCAGAAGGGCCCCCCTTTCTGGGATCTGCGCTTGCATCCTCTGTGCTGCTGCCAGAGTTAGCCTTCATCAGAACACCAGGCACCTCTCCATGGTTGGATGGATTTAAATCAGCATTGCCTGTGCCTTCCTCGGCTCTATCAGCTTGCTAAATCAACGCAGTCCTCCCTAGGTAACAGGATGATACTTCGGCTGAAAGCAGTGATTAATTTGACTTAGAATCTGGAGTATTTGTGACTCATGAGGTACTGCAGATACAGCTTTGAACTTCTGAGCAGGGAGCAGATTTGGAAAGCCCTCAAGGTGCCCTACAGAGAAACTTCCAATTTCTCAAGCCATTTTAAAAATATGATATAAACCTTTTACTGCTTAAAGAAAAAATGGGAAGGCATACTAAGATTAAAAAAAAAGTGAGAAAGAAAGCTTAATGATGAGTCGGGCATAGTGAGGCTTGAAATACTGACTGCTCATCTTCTTGTCTCTTTGGTCCCTGTGGTGGGGCCATGTACAAAACAGAGTTGTAAATGCCCACCTGGTTATGGCGAGCCCTGGTGCCCTCTGCTCACCACAGCACAGTGGAAATAAATGGTCCTACAGTGAGCTACACCATGTGGTGGTTCAGTGCTCCCAAGGAAGCACAGGATTCCTTGGAATCACTGGCCCTGCAGAGATCTTTTGGGTGGATCCTCTTTCATGTAGTGGATAATCCAAATGTGGATTGAATCCTGAGTCTACACAATGTGGGCTGGGGACCCTTCTGGATGCATTGATAAGACATTAATGAGAGCTGATGGGCATGAGACTTCTCCTTTTTGGTCACAGAAGGAAATGTGGTAGCTAGGTACCTGGAGAGGAGAAAAGAGGGACCTGCGGCAAGAGAGAGTGCAATCAGATGAGTGGCATCTCAGACAGAAGCAGGGCGGTTAGGGGCACAAAGACTGGGAGTGCCACAGCAGTGGGAGGGGCTGTTCTCTACCCCACTCCACTCTACCGCAGGCCTCAGAGCATCCCTCAGTGAACAACTCCTTTGTCTCAGCCGAGCAGTCTTCTCACAGAAGCCTCAGGAGCAGGTTGGCTGTAGGCTGTGTTCGTGTGGAAACTAGGATGATAGTCTTGTTCCTGGGGACCCAGGAGAATTTAGAAATTCTTAGATTGGAAGGAGAGGCACTTGGGGAGTGGGCAAGGCTGGGGAAGAATGCCTTGGTTCTCTACTTGGAGGGGCTTGTAAGAGCCATCAAAAATTGGGAATTAAGGCCAGTGTGATGGTTATTTATGTGCATATATGAGGGCAGTTTGGAGACATTTAATTAGTTTCTGATAGGTAAATAAAGTTCAGGAAATGTTTGGTAACACCCCAGACTCACAGAACTTGTGAGAGGAAGTGTGTGGGCTTACACTTAGTGCCCTTTCCACTTCATCAGGCTGGTTTAACTTGAATTGACTTACTGAGAAAACAAGCTGTACTTTCGTACAGTATAATTTCTGTGATTTTTGGAAACTGATTTGAGTTCTAAGAACAGGGGCTATGTCCTGTACTTTTCTTTCAGGCAGGAGACATGGTTGAAGCTTAATCAGTATCTTATGAGTCATTTGATTCATTCATTAGAGCAAGCATCAGCATCTTCTCTTGAGTGCAATGGATGATTACTGGCAAAGGATCAGGAAGATATGGCAGGACAATAGATCTTATGACTCAAAATAATCACCTCTTTCAAAAGGAAAGTGTGAAAACTTCATCAAATTTAGAGTTAGATGGAATTTAAGGAAAATGGTAATGGCAGGAAGCTGACTGAGTATGGGAGCCTCAGCTGAGATTGGAAGCAGTCAGCTCTCTGCAACAGAAAGGAGGGTGGAAATTGCCCTGCAATCATTCGAGAAACAGTTTGTAAGGACTCAGCACATGTTAGGCATTGTTCTAGAGACCAGGATTGAGCACTGGACAAAACAATTGGGTCATAATTTATTTACATTTCTTCTTCTCATGTAGCTTTAGTACTGTATAAGATTTGGATTTGTAAAATTTGTATCCCACCTTGTTCTAAAAAACTTAAAGCAACTTACAGAGGTGTAGTGATGCCAATAAATTAGGAGTTAAAAAGATAGATAAGTAAGAAAAAAAATGGAGTAAGAAGCATCAGAACCCAACTGAGCCAAGAATAAAGCTAGTTCCCAGTACACAAAATGCACCCATGAAAGTCTAGATACTGCCACAGGTGAGCCACAGATGTCACCTCAGGCTTTGCAATGACTAATCCATAGTGAGTGATGATACGACCCATGAAGACAAACACTTAACAACAAAAACAAAACCCTTCTTTGGCAGAAGAACAGCTAATCCTGATACTGAGACCAGAAGGAAATGTTTCTAAGAATCCTTCAGAATCAGGACACTCTGTGGCTGTGCTATAGGACTATGTCATGAGCAAAACAGCACATGAGGCTGGAAGAGGGAGATGTCACTTTAAGTTCAGCAATTGAATCTTTGTGAATTGATATTGAGTCTCCAGAAAATAACGAGGGACGAGTATGCCGTGGTATAAGTGAGTCTCTCTAGATTTGTGTGGCAAAGACATTGCACATGTCTCCTGAGCAAAAGAATGTATTGTGATTCACAGAATAGCTGGGGGTAAGGAGAGAGGGATAAGGCGACTTGATGTCAGTGTCTTAAAGAGAAATGTCAGTTTGCAAATTTGATCAGAATAATCTCAGCTCAGGCCAGTTGGTTTGCCCTATTCCTTATATATGTGTGGGTTTGGCTATAGGTCTGCTATAATGTGGGTGAGGAAAGACCAGGGAAAGGATGAAAACCCATGTTAGAATAGAAGAGACACCTAGAAATAGTAATAAAACCACTTTGTCTACTCACTAGAAACTATCTAAAGTGTTTTTGTTTTAAAGACGTCCCACGAATCTGATGTATTGAAGAACGAGATGGACATAAAAAATTAAATGCTATGGAAAATGTCTTTCTTAGATTTTAGAAAGCAATAAAATGCGTTAGATATTGGGAAGACAGGCTGGGTGCTGTGGCTCATTACTGTAATCCCAGCACTTTGGAAGGCCAAGGCAGGTAGATCATGAGGCCAGGAGTTCAAGACCAGCCTGGCTAACATAGCAAAACCCTGTCTCCACTAAACATACAAAGATTAGCTGGGCATGGTAGAGCATGCCTGTAATCCCAGCTACTCAGGAGGCTGAGACAGGAGAATTGCTTGAACTGGGAACCAGGAGGTGGAGGCTGCAGTGAGCCGAGATCGTGTCAGTACACTCTAGTCTGGGCTACAGAGTGAGACTCCATCTCAAAAAAAAAAAAAAAAAAGGAAATTGGGAAGACAATTTGGTCCATCATTATAAGGCAAGAAATTGTATGTAAAGACTCCTATATTATATTAATGTATAGGATACAGAATCACATTTTTCTTTTCTTTTTTTCTTTTTACCAATCATGATAGACAGTTTTAGGGAATCTGCCAAGCTCACATCCTTTTCTGTGACACACACACACACACACACACACACACACACACACACCCCTGCATGCATGCCATGCCAACACAGTGGTGAGGGGAGAAATGGGAGAGGAGGGAAATTTGTTTCCACTGACTTTCCAGCTCCTGGATCTACCCCTTCGTAAGGCCCTAATGCGCTTACTCCCCTAGTATCCTAGTACTGCAAGAGATGCTGCTGTATCTTTCCATTGGATTTGTAATTCTCATTCTCTCGCACTTTGCTTAAGATGGTTTACGTGGGTTTTTTCTCATGTCCAATGCTTCCTGACTGAAACATTAATTAAAATAGAAAGCCTTTCCTTTGTGGGAAAGGATAGAGAGGTATTTGATATGACATGTGTGCATTTTATGTTTTTGTATATTTTATGTATTTTTCAAAGGACATAAGCATATTATGTGGAGTAGAAACGTATGAAGTTTGTTAAATGCTTAGAAAAAGTCAGGAGTTTCCCGTTGAGAGTTACTGTGCATGGTAGAGAGATATTTCACTGGTTTTCTGGATGCTCTCCTTGCCTGTGCTTGATTTGCTTCTCTTACACTGCAGAAATCTCTGCTTAGTCCAGGTACCTGCTCATAAGCTTTGTGAAGTGGGTGACGCTGGGTCCAGGTAAAAAAAGTGATCCTTAAACTCAGCAGCCACTAGTTTTGGTGTAAAACAGTGACGTTCTTGCAGAATGAGTTTGTCTTTGTCTCCAAACTGGCTGGAAAATTCAAAGGACTGAAGTTGGGCAGAAGTTTAAGAGGAGGTACTCCTAGATTAAACGTAGAATCTCTGCTAGAACAAGTGCCATCGTTTTCCAGCACGAGGATGTTGGGGAAACTCAGTCAGTGCCCAGTGTCTCCTCATTTCTGCCCAGGAGAGGACCAAGTTGACAGCAGGGAGCAGGTCTCCTGTCCACAAACCTACAGGAGAAGCATTTCTCTGGGTCTCAACATGTATTCTGACACAGGACTATGGAGAATTCCTCATCTGAGTGCCCGGCTCCTTAGGGAGGAGGGAACAGCCACGCCTCCTAGAGGGAACCCTCCCAGATCTGGATGGTGATAGAAGCCTCCCTCCTATCTCCCAGCCACTCTTCTTGATACATTTTTTTAAAAAGTTTTTTAAAGTATTATTTAATTAAGTAACAGCATTCTTACAGCATTTTGTGAAAATCAAAACTCCAGGATAATTTTAATTTTTTAAAATGACTTCCTTTCTTGAAAATTTTTCATCAGATTTTTCTGTTATGGGCAAACTTAAAAAGTCTTTTCTTAATAGTATATTGAAGTTTTAAACAGAAACTAAAGCTACAGAGTCTTCGAGGATATTCTTCTCTGCTCTCAACCAAAAATCAACAGAAAATGTATTCTTACTCTTTTTACATTAGCTATCCCAATATTCGTTGCCTTATACACAGTTACATCTGTAGGTGATGCAAGATAAATCCTTTTTGAATAATGAAAAGCATTTATTAACCCACATTTGGAAAGAATCTTGAAGGGCAGCAGCATAAGCAAAAGTGTTTATTCACTCTTTACATTCTGATGTAGACAGTTCACTCTCTGGTCTTCATTTTAGTGGGTGATGGGTAATGTGACCAGGGGGCCACAAAGGACAGAGGCACAAGAGGAGCAAGTGGAGACGGTGCAAGATGATGACAGTGCACCTGGCAGAGACTACGCCTTGGGAGCCATAGGAGAGCGTCTCCCTGGCAGGCAGCAGAAGAGCTTTCTCGGAGAATGGGGTCTTGTTGGCTAGGCTAGGCTAAATTAGGCTAAGCTTCGGCAACAATCACCAAAAGTCAGCAGCTTTACAGAGAAAGTTTATTTACCACTCTTGTACTCTAGTGCAGGGCAGGAAGCCCACCCCTGTTGTGTAGCCTTCCATCTGGATTTCACAGATTCCAAGTCTGCGGGCAGCACCAGAAGAAGAGAGAGCTGGAGGTTTGCATGGGATGTTTTTCAGGGCCAGGCCTGAAAGTGGCACAGGTTACTTTAACAACATCTCATTGGTATATCCACACTTACCTGGTGCCAACAGCAAAGGAGGCTGGGAAATGTAGTTTTAGCTGTTTAACTACAGGCCAAAGGGGAAACTGGTGAAGAGCACACAGAATGTCCGTGGGGGAAAGGGTGACTGCAGAGGAGCAGGGCAAGGGCAGCAGCTATATGGCAGCAAATGAAAGTCTATGGAGCTGATTCTCCTGGGCCTCCGGCCTTCCCTATATTAAGGCACACTATTCACTACACTTGGCTAAATAGAAAGATGGCAAATTTAAGTGCAGATCAGTCAGCCATGGCATGCTGGAATCCACACCTCTGGATCAGCTGTGCTACACTGTTTTGCACAGGCAAAGTTCCTGATAAATTGGAACCTGAGGAGAATGCAAAAACAGGCTGGCAGATGGTATGCCCTGTAATTGCATGTTTCTGGTAGGGCATTGCCTTGAATTACCTGAGGGGCCCAAGCTGCCTCCTCCAAGCACCCTCTTACAAACCATATCAGAGGAGAGAGAACAGGGCTGGCAGGAACTCCCAAGTCTCAATTCTCCACAATTGGGTTTGTGGCCGACAGAGGGAAGAGTGGACTTTTGCTAAGTGAGGGGCACACCTACTTGTAACTCATTCCGTCCACTACTTTCAGAGTGGATCAGAATCCCTCAGACCAAGATTCAAGCAAAAAAACAATCTCTTAAGACACGTGCCTTTTGACCACACTGTAGCTGTCCCCCACCTCACCTCCACCCTGGGGTCTCTGCAACCATTGCCTGATACTGCCCATTAGGACTGGCAGGGGAGGCTCTAGAGATTTCTGATGTGGGTCTTTGGACTTTCCAAATAGCCTAAATCCCAGCTCTGGGCTATGACACCCATGAGTGTGTCTGCTTGCCTAAGTGGGAATTTATCAGTAAGTCTGTAAATCAAAATATAATTTATTGCTCATGCATGGCTAAAAAAATGCATTATTTAATTTGGCTTACATCAGTATTTACAGGAGCAGGAGGGCTTTTTCCGATGGGGGATTTTGGCCCAGAAGCAGAGACCCCAATCCTGCCGTCTTTCTATCTGCTCTTTTCTTTAAACTGACACAGCATTGCTTGTCACCGATGGAGGTGGCCCATCAGCCATCAGCCCTGAGCCGGGACGAACTTCCACACTGAAGGGGCTTCAGAATGGGCATTATCACTTGAGCAGACATCAGGCACTGAAGTAGCACAGGCCCCAGGATATCTGAGTAGAAGCGACCAGGGGCAGCAAGGCAGTTAGAGCAGCAGGGCCGGGCTTGGGACTGGTCTCGAAGCAGCATTTCTATTATAACAGCTGTACTGTTTTAACTACACTAGATCTTATTGGGAGGGGAGAGGGTGAGAAAAACTGAGAGGGAGGTTAATCCTCCTCGACCCCTGTCCCTCTTTCCACCCTCTGGAGTCTACCCCTTGGTTCCCATTCAGATTTGTCTAGGTAAATGGTTGGGACAAATATCCATTCTAGCAGCAAGCCATGCTCACCTTGGAGCTGGTGTACCCTACCGCTGCCAGTGTGCACCCTCTGTCTCCACCAGGGTTAAGAAGGAGTGGTGGTTTCCCTTTCCTAGCCTTTTACCCAGTAAAGGGGCAGAGGGAGAGGAGAAGAATACCACTTTCCCTTGCCTTGATTGTATAAATATATGAGACTCTGGCCACATTGAGGGGCCCTGAATACCTGTAGTGTGACATGAAGCAGCTTCCCTGAAGGACCAGATGGGACCACAAGAGCAAAAGACCTTTGGAAACTGTAAGGCACCCAGATAGAAGGAGTGCCCCTCCTCTTCATTCTAATGCACCATCTGCACCTGTTTTTGCTTTATTCTGAGGCTTGTTCCTATTCTGGTTAACATGCCTTGCCATGGCTGGGTCCACCTGGATGGACCCAGGGTGGAGTTCATGCATTCTTCTTGCCATTCTTTCTAGCAGATCATCAGCACTGATGTTCTCAGATATGAGGGTATTTGAGACAATGAAACAGGTTCACCTCCCCAGGGCCAGCAGGGGGCCCTGTGACCTTGTGAGAAGCCTGGCTGCCACCTGGAGAGGGAGGGCTGGTCCCAGCAAAATGAATGTCATTCCCAGGGCCTTTGATTCCCACCAAGCAGGAACCACCATCAAGTGTCCTAGCCAGAAACCTCTTCCAAGGACTCCCCAAAGGCCCTGGGGACTACGCGTTTCATCTGCAATAAGAGAGGGATACTCTGGTGCACTGCTGGTGCCCAGGTTGTTTCCTGCTTTATTTTGTGTGTGGTGTGCTTTGCAGTGACCTTTTGAGTGTCTGTCACAGCCCTGCTTCTCCTTCCCATCCAGGGAACATGATGGGTTTGCCTCTCAGGTCCTCATTAGTTTTTGCAGCAGCCGCTCCAGGTTTTCTTTCTCTTTGTACATAACAGAGAACAATTGGAGACTTGTTTTCTAAAGAGAAAAGCCTGGCATTTGAAGGAGTTTTTCAAAACTCCAAGAAGACAGAGAGGGATCACATGAGTGCGCAGGGGGATACCTGGCCTTGGGCACCTCCAGCCAGCTGCCCACGAGGGACGTGGTCCTTGTCCTCTCATCCCACTTTCCATTTCCAGTGCTTCTGTACTAGACCATTTCGGCTGAAGACTTACAGATCTGGGCTCTAGCCTGTTACCCAAAAAAATCCCCCTTGTGGCTAGACTGAATTGTAGTCTTCTAGAAATTCTACAGGTGTATTTCCTGAGTTAAGGGGAAAAACCAGCATCTGGAAACTCAGGGTGTGTTCTGATGTCTGCTGATGAACAGCAAATTGACCCCAGAGCAAGTTATTTCTCAGGTATACAGTTGTTTCTTCCTTGTAAATAGTTCCAAATGGGAAAAGGTGATTTAAGGAGCACTTTCAAACTCATTATATGCGGGTTGCTTAGTACACAGCACCTGTGGCCAGAGGCCTGGTGGTCTGTTTGCTGTCATTCTCTGCTTTTTCCTTGGTGCTTTCTGGAGGATGGCAGGTTGAGTATGAAGGAACGGTCAGTTTCAGGCTCAGCTGTGGCCTTTAGTCAGCTGCAGATCAATTTGATGGGTAATTCAGAGAAAAAAAATTGACTTGGTCATGCTTTGTGACAGCCAGACCAAGATCAAGATGATACAGTGATACTGCTGTAATCCCAGATTTAATATGATTTTCACAATTGCATATTAGTACTCGAGACACTATAACTAGAAAATGAAACAGCCCCCAATGAGTCGTTTCCATCAAATGTACTAGTAGAGATCATTTTTCATGATTCCTCAGTGGTCCCAACAATTATGTTCATTGAAAGTACTGTCATGAATGTAACTGGGACTCAGACACAGGAGGAAAAATATCCTTAGCTTTCTGCTTTTTTTCTTTCAGTTTGTAAATTTTGACCAACAGACATGGTTAATAAGACTATGCTTTTTTAAAACCTGTATTTTATATTTATTTTATTTTTAAATGTTTTTAGTGACAAGGTCTCACTATATTGCCCAGGCTGGTCTCAAACTCCTGAACTCAAATGGTCTTCCCACCTTGGTCTCCCAAAGTGCTGGGATTACAGGTGTGAGTCACCACACCTGGCCTAAGGCTATGCTTCAAACAAACTTTTTAAAAAAAGTATTGATATATTTTATAGAGTTCATTTAATACACTGCCATTTTAGGAAAGCGATTCCAGCTCAGTTTTCTGAAATCTGTGGCAACAAATGTGTGGATCTATCAGAAATAGTATTTGCTTTTATTAAAATACATTCTATGTGCCTTTTGATTCCTTTTTGATGGAAAGGCGTCTTGCACTTATATATATATATGGAGTAACAATCTGTCGATTCTAGTCAACTGCCTTTGACTATCTGGGTCAAGCAATTTCCCACCAGGTGAAACAACTTTTCAAATCCTTCCTTCTGCTTCCCTTACTTTCCAGCCTGTATCCTTAGTATATAATTTGTAAACATTGTAAGAGAGGGTCCTGATGCTTTAATGTATGCAGACTACATTGTACATAATCTGTACAAAATTAACTATGTCTAAAAGTGACCAAGTCTACTCCCTTACTTGTAAAATTATAGAAAGGTTTGCCTTTCAGTACATTAGATCTGCAGCTACATTCGTTGTTTCTGAGTCTTTAGATTTTGCAAAAGGGAATTGAAATCCAGCAAGTCGTATTAGGAGCCCATTCAGAAAATGAACAGAAAAGCAAATGAAAATGACCCAGAATGAGATGGCATATTTTTCACTTTGCGTTTTGTAGACATAAGTCCCTTCTTTATAATTTGCAATTTTTTCTGAAAGATGGTGGATTTTCACTTCAGAGGCAAACAGTATCATGACAAGACAGCCGCAGGAGCCTGCAACAGAAGAAACAACGTGTTGCAACAAGCATTTCCTGATTGTAAGATACAGGGAAGAGGGTCAATGTGTAAACCAAGGAAATCTCTTACCATCATCTCCATTTACATTCTTACACAAAAAAATACGTGCATATTTGTAATCATGAGCCTGATTCTTCAATCTATAGGTGATAGTGCCTGGGTTATGGCTCTGCTCTGAGTGAAGATTTGCGTGTGTGCTCAGAAGTGCAGTGGGAGGAAGGAGGTGGTTAGAATCCAGCTGATCTTACAAAGACTGGGAAATATTCCTCTTTGCATGATGTGAAGGCTGAATTGCTAGGCACTTTAAAGGCATAATTGTGGAATCAGGCTACAAAGCAGCCACTGCTATGATGTAGCTTCAAGAGAAATGGTTTCTCTGTACTTCACAGGCCATGGAGGATAAACGGCAGTCATGCTGCCTCTTGTGAAGGCCCTAGGCCTCCCTTCAGAAGGGTTACCACGGCTCCTTCGGCTTTCACTTAGCACAGCTGCACAAAGAAAAAGCTGAGCAAAGGCAGCTATGGATGAGGTGTTGAGGTGGCACATACCTCTATTCTCTTTGTTTATGCCAGAATCAGATTTTTAGCTACACATATGACTGTCTTGAATAAAGATGACATTGTTCAGCTGAGAGTGGTTGGGATGTATGGGTGGAAAAGTCTTCTTGAGCTATACAGGTACTAGGGGCCTGTCCTTTCTTTCCCACTTCCTCCTTCCTGTGGCTGAAATATGGATGCAATGGCTGGAGCTGCAGCATACATTCTGGACCAATGTGGCTCTAGAAATGAAAGCCATATGCTGTGGAAAAACAAGAAGGGGTCTAAATCCCAGATCCCTGGAGCCCCTGAACCAGTCCTGGACTTCAACCTCTAGATTTTTACCTGTGAGAGAAATAAACATTTATTTTGTTTAGTACACTATTGTTATTTTTCCCCCCTCATCTATCACTCATTGGTAGCCTAATCTGATCTTAACAGATGCAGCTGTGATTTGGGTGACATTGCTGTGGGACAGGGGCACTCCATACAGACTGGAAGCTGGAAACTCTGGTATCTCCCCTGAAGATGGACAAAGGGAGACCTCTGGATGGGTGGATGGCACAGGGAGCAGAAGCAGGTGATAGGAGGGACCAGGTCAGGAGCACACTGGATGGCCAGGACTCCACAGCACTTCCATAGCTACTGTTACACCCCAAGCCACCACAATAGGGTTCCAGTTAATAGGAGACTTGCTGGGATGGTTTTCTGCCTTAGGTGAAACCAATTTGGGTTCAAACCCTGATTCCTTTACTTGCTATGTAAAATTAGGCAATTTTAATCTTCAGGTCTCAATTTCTTCATCTGTAAAAGGTGGTTAATATAGGTGAATCATGATTTACATTTGGCACTGTAATCGACACATAAATGCTACTAATCGGTAGCTGTTCCTGTGGTGTTTGTGGATTCCTTGTTTCTTGCAAGTCCTTATAATAGTTTGATTTAGGTCAAACCAGTTTGGTTTCAAATCCTGATTCCTCCACTTATGATGCCAAATTAGGCAATTTTATTTCAAATTCTCATCCTACCCCATACAGGAACACCTGAAAACATCAGGGTAGGCAACACAAAAGAGCATATTACGGTGTCTTTTTTTTTCCACCAAATAGTCTCCCACTAAGTTTATATCTCCTTTAGGACAGGTACATGCTTTTTGCTCTTCAATTAAAGTTAATCCAAATATCCTAGGAGTGGCAACATAATGGCTTGAGTTTCTATTCATTAATTCACTCATTCATTCATTTATTCAATTAGACTTATGTGTCAATTGTGGGGATAGTTGTGGAGATTTAAACACTAAAGAAAATACACATGGTTTCTGCTCTCACAGTGTATAATTGGGCAGAGGGCATAAATCAAATGCTAACCAATTACAGTGCCTGTAATCTAGGGGGAGTAGAGGGGCTGTTACTGAGAGGGTGGGGAGCATTATGGAAGGTTCCTTAGAAGTAGCCAGAAGGAGCTGTAGGAGAAGTTAGCTGAGCAGAGGGAGGCTGGACTGTGTGGGGAGAGCATTGCAGGCAGGAGGAGCTGCGGCGTAAGTGACAGCATCCATTCCTCTCCCAAAGTTCAGGCTGGGTTTGGGGTAGAGGTAGAGATTGTGGGGTAGGAAGGAGGGGAGAGGTGAACAGAAAAGGTGACATCACATTTCTTTTACTTTAGAATTTCACATAGGAGTGGCCCATCAGCTTAATCATCATCAGATAGTCAAATAATGTAATTTTCTTGAAACTTCACTTTCTACCAGCCTCAGAGTGGTAGCTGAGAATATTCCTTTGTACAATTTTGTCAGCCTATTTTTGTATTCTGAGCTTAAAACCAGAGCTCTCCCCTGGCAAAACCGTATTATTGCTTTATTGTTAGATCCTAACAAAAAGGCTGCAGTGCTGTTTTCTCTTTATCTTTTATTTGAAAATTGTGGAGAAAATGCCATTGCTTTTACCATAAGAGCCTTCTTTGTCTGAGGAGATGGTGAATTTCAGACAGAAGTGAAACAGTATTTCCTGAGCACCTGAAAGGAAAATTCAAGCTCAGTTTCCTTTTCAAGTCGTTAAATATTTTAAAGGCACTACTTTGTTAAGGAGACAGTATCACAGCGAGGCTGTATTTCAGATTCCTAAAGTAAAAGTTACTTGGGGTGTCATAAGACTCAGAGCCTTTTGCCGTAGCTCATATTTCAAGCACACGAGCCCCCAAAGCAAAGTGTGCTGTCTAGGAGTAGAGAGGACAGTGTGATTTTGCTCTGGATTCTAGAGTTGACCTCACGGTCAACTTTGTCATTTCAGGGCCAGAGGTTAGAAACCCAGCCTGAGTCTCATAACCTTTCAGTGACTGCTAAGAGATATGAAGGGAGGCAACTCACTGTGAACTTGGGATATTTTTGCTTCTCTCTGTCCATGGCTCTAAAAAAGACATGGGATCAAGGATAATATTTATAATTTATGAACCAAAAGACACACATGAAGAGTGTCTCTTTGTGGCATGGCTGCTGAGGCTGTGAAAGGAAGTGTGTAAGGGATGTGAGAAGAGGACTCAGCCGACGCACTTCCAATGTGACCCTCTGAATCCAGCAAGAGGGACTCCTGCTTTGGGCCCCACATTTAGAAGGTTCTGCTCTGTCTCTCTTCTGGAGAGGTCCCTTTCCACAGCATGAGGAATCCTTGAAGTCAGTGGAATATGCCTGCCTCGCGTGCCTGACTCACATTTTAGTTCATACTCCTGGGACCCTGGAATTAACTTTGTAAATAGCCCTGAGCCCATTTTCAAGACCTATGTGGTCATTTCTCCTGGGTTAGTCCTCCCAGGGTCAGAGGGTGGCTGAGGAATAGCTGTTTCAAGAGACAATGGTCAGAGCTTGAATCCATGGTGCAGTGTCCACACGCACATGCTTGAGGCTCTTTGCCATGTGCAATGGAGCCAGGGAGGGGAAGAGAAGTGAGTTTTCTTTGATACTCTTTCCCAAGACTTCACAAATTGTAGGATCAGTGCTGCATGTCTCTCTCCTCTTTTTCCCACTTACCCATGTATACCAAGAGCTCAAATTCATATGGTGCCATTTGGACAGATTTCTCATGTGTCTGTCCATCTGACCAACACTGCTCCTGCTCCCAAGAAAGGTTAGAGTAAACCAGGACTTTGGAAAGCCTGCAAAACCTTGCTCAAGCTATACTTTGAAATATAACCAGGCACAAGGCCCAGGTTTTGCTGCCCAGTGTCTTACTCGATGACCTACAGCCATTTTCCTTTCATCTGTCTGATTTCCCCACCATCTGGCTGGAGCTGTAGGGGTTTTTTTTCTTCCTTTTAATGACTTCGATTACTGAGTTAATTTCTGACTGAATAGGATAGCTGAGTTATAGGGGTGTCACACCATGAATGATCAGTCAATTAACGAACGTTTGTAATGTGCTAGACACTGCACATTCATGACTCTCCTCTGACAGCTGTCTGAGAATGAAGAATTGAGCAGTGGTCTCCTCCAGTCCTTACTCTATGGGGGAATGCAGGACACAGCCAATAAGAGTTGTTTCTTCATCCCTACATGACCCTGAGGTACCTATGCTTTTATGAGTGGAACACCCTGCCAGGATCTGTGGGAGTCCAGAGGACTTACGGGTTTGGGTCCTTGAAGGGGAAGACATCTCTGAAATGTTATCTTATTATCAGTAAGATCATATTATGGGAAATAATAAATTGGAATTTCAATTCCATTTCAAGTAATGACCAACATTTTCAGAAAGCTTTCAGCACGTCATCTTCCACTGTCGTATAGGTGACAAATATTAGGGACATTCTGTTGCCAATATAGAATGGTAAATTGATAATTTCCTTTTCAAGGAATATTAAGAGATGATAAGTGGGAGTGGGAAAGCCACAACTTTACAAGTGTAGGTGTTTGTTTTCTCTAAAATTACGCAAATGTCACTAGAAAGTTGGTAATTGAAAGTAAGGTCACCAGCAGTGATTTCTTCCCCAAATAGAAGTTGTTCTGACTCTACACTGCTCCAGAGACTGATTGCTACCATCTAGAAAGGGACAGAGGGACAAGTAAAGTGAGTTAATACCACAGAGTAGATTTTGAGATTGCAACGGCAAACAATTTGGTCATGTGTTTCCAAAAGATAGATGTAGATAAAGGAATAACACCACTGGGTCTAGCCTTTTCACTTTATCTTCTGTATTGGAAAGTTGAAGAGCCCACATCTAACCTAAGTTTTACAAATGTTGTGTTGTTGGCAAGGATGATTAGTGCAAGAAGAAATGGTCTAAAAATACAATGTTTATCTCATTTGAACTTATTTTCAAAAATAAGAATGTCATTTATTACTAGAAAATATGCAGCTATTTCTGTTCATTTATTCAACAACTGTTTATTGAGTGCCTATCGCACTGTTGTGGGAACTGGGGGTACTGCACTAAAGGAAACGGGCGAGAATCCCT